AACATTCTAATTAGTGACTTGACAATTTGTAAGACAAAAACTTTAATTCGAACAAGTAATCAATAAAACGTGCTAGGGTTACCATGGGTACGTGATTAGGGTTCTAATTTGCAACTTGACAATTTCAAAGACAAACACCTTTTAATTTGTATGAATTTGTTTGTAACTATGTTAATAAATAAAATTTGAATGTTTGGGATAAATAGAATTATTCGAAATTAATTAAATAATATGTAAACAATTCTAGGTTGCCTTCGACTATTTTTTTTTTTTTTGTAATTAGGGTTCTGCTAATTCGTAATTAGGGCTCTTGTTAAATTGTTGTTAAATTGCCTTTTTTTTTAATAAACAGTTTACATCGACAAGTTAATCCGTAAAAATTATAATGCATATATAGTTAGGGTTCTAATAAATTCGTGTTAGGGTTCTACTTAAATTCTAAATTTTAAGTAATGTAATGTAATGCAGATAATTAGGAGGTCAATCATAATTAATTTAATTATTTCAATTAATAATGTCCATATTTAGAAAAATATTGAATAAGGGTAATTACGTAAAATGACACCGTATATTTAGAACGGATTTAAATTAATTATTTCAGGCAAAAATATCGTCGGGGGTAAGTTAGACAATTCAATGTTAATCTATTTTATATTAATTTAATAAAAAAATAATCGAAGGATATTATGGTAAAGTACTTCATTTTTTAGAACATAAGCCATGTTATTTTCCTAGGGTCCAGATTTAATCTTAGAAAATTAATGGTGATTAAAGCATATCTCAAATAAGTTTAGAACATGGGTGGTCTCACCCTAGAAAGACCATAACATAATTAACATTGAGAGAATTAATGAGAACGATGATTAATTTTGTTTTATTGGATTTTATAAAATTCATTCACATCTATAAATATTTTTAATATTGCATGTATTATTTATTTTTGAAATTGGAATAATATTTTGCATATTATTGTACTGTAATATTGGTATTAGTTATATATTTTAAATAAATTTTATTTTTTTAGCATTTTAATTAAAATGCCCGTTTAAGCCGCAACGGAGCCGCGGCGTTGCTATGGAATTGGAATGACAGTGCCCGCAGTGTTCTGGCGAACCAACCAAAGTGTGAAGAAGAGAGAGGAAATGTTGAAGAGAGTGTGTGAGGATGAAGAATGAATGGGAAGAAAAAGACAAAATGGAACTTTTCTTTTAGATATAAAAAGGGTTTTTTATTAAAAAAAACACCCTTGTGTAATCTCAAATTGCTGCAAAAACCCTTGTGTTAAAAAAATTTAGAAAATATACCCCTATCAAAATTAGTCAAAGGCAATAAGACCCCTGAGAACTGACTGTGCGCTTCACTCGCCACGAATGCTAGTGGGAGTTCATTTTTTAACACGAAAATACCTAAATACCCCCATAAATTTCATAAGCACCAAAATGAAGTGTTTAAGATTTTCAATTGAGTCTTTTATATTTTCAATTAAGCCCTCTTCTTCAACCTCAAGAGCAGCCCACTTATTCACCGTGATTCTTTTCAGCAAACAACAAATATTAATAGCAAGAACTAATTGCAGATACAACAGTTCATCTTATAAATTAGACATGAACTGCAAACATGAAATAACAACTTCAATTAAGAACTAATAACAACTTCAATTACAATAGAAAATCGCAAAGTGCAAACTGCAATAAGACATGTACATCCAATTGCAAAATAACTAGATGTATTCCCTAGTAATTTGTATACCAAGTTAACCACAACAACATACAAACTCAAATCATACTAAAAATTGAAGTGCAAACTAAGAATAGCAAAGCTCAAATCATACTAAAAAAAATTGACTTCAAACTACATGCAAACCAAAATTTCATAAATTACCTAAATAGAAAAAAGCAAACTCAATATAGCAAATGCAAACTCATAATAACAAACTCGAAACAGCAAACTGCAAATTCGGTTTAGCAAATCCACACTAGCAACAATCAAATGTTTAATCTCAAGAAATTAAAGGTCTATACTTAGAAACAGTTACATTTTTTTTCAAATAAGCACAAACAAACTAATAACATTAACAAACGCTGCAATTTATACCTTATTTTGGGGATTCGATGTCATCATTCTCTTTTGATTTCCACGAAAAAAAAAAAAAAAAAAAAAAGGGGGGTTTTGAATAAGTATTGAAAAAATCGAATAATCAAGTAGGAGTATTGCTTACCGAGACTAAATCGTGTTTGAGTCATTGTAGGAATAGCAAACAACAAATGAAGAAACAACATAAGATGTCTCTTCACACAACAAACGATCTCCAAATAGCTATTGGAGATATTAATATTAAATGATATATTTCACCAAAAGCTTAAGCTTTTGGTTGAGATGGTCATTCAACATGGTATCAGAGTCAAGCCAAATGAAAGGTCTGAGTTCGAATCCCACAACCACCAATTTAAAAAGATTTCAAGTGCAAGGCTTCAAATGTAATTCGTCTGCACTTGTGGGGGCGTATTGGAGATATTAATATTAAATGATATATTTCACTAAAAGCTTAAACTTTTGGTTGAGATGGTCATTCAACAATAGCAAAAAAAAAAAAAAAAAAGTTGGTTCCACAATGTAAATAGCAAACAGAATTTTGTAAATTGCAAATGGTTCGAGGACCCTACCTATGGCAGACGCGATTCAATTTTTTGTTAGGGTTTGGTGTTCATGAATTCGATGTTTGGGAGCGATGGAATTGATGAAATTAATTTTTGGGAGCGGTGGAATTGATGAAATTGATTTTTGGGAACGGTGGAATTTGAGATTTGAAATACATCATATAATATGACGTATTTCTTATAATATGACTCATATTAGGGATATTTTGGACACATTAAAAATAATAAATTTACTAACAAATTTATGAGAATTTAAATTTATATAATTTGTGTTGTTTATTATTTTCTTTTTTAGTTTTTTTTTTTTTTTTTTTTTTTTGTTATCATGTTATGTTGTTTTTTTATATGAGCTATGCATTTCAATTGAAATGTCTTGTCTTGTATTTCGTCAATTAAAGTGTGTTTCGTAAATGATTCTATCTTTGTTTATTATATTTTATTAATGGCAATAGCGTATTAGTTAAGTAAATAAATGAACTAATCGACATTGATAAAAAAAATATACAAATTAATTAAAAATAAGCATATTTATATTATTAGTATTTTAATTAATTAAAAATAAGCATATATATTAATTAAAAATATTTTTATTAATAATAATAAAAATGAATTTATATTTTAAAAACTAATTTAATAATTAAGACTAATGTATTTACAATAAATATGCTAATAATTCGGTAATCAGGTGCAATTAGTTAAAATCATTATCTATATGCTAATTAATAAAATGGTGTTAATTACACCAAATCCTATTTTCACCTCTATATTTGGCAAAAAATAGGATTTTGTGGGAAAAAAAATAGGAAAATGGTGGATGGCTGGGTTCCTTCACAAAAAAATTTGGTAGAAAATAAGAATCGGGTATATGGTGATATGGGGTTGACCACGGTGGGAGGCTAAAACCAAATCTCCATAATTTTAGGTGTAATAAAAATATAGAAATTTTGGGTGGGAGGCTAAAAACACCTAAATTAGATGGAAAAAAATGGTGATATAGTGACCGGTCGGAGATGCTCTGACAATGACATCTGCTTATTTAGATTGTTGATGCATGTATATTCTTCAAAGATGTCTTTTATGTATGACATTCAGATGGAAGGTGTACGTGTTCTTACACCAACCAATCGACTGGGAGGGGTCTGGAGTTGATGCTACATTGTATAAGCTAGAATTCTCCACCCTACTTAAAAACATTGTTTTCAGGTACTCTATTTCATCTGTATAAGCTAAGCAATAAAATACAATTTCTCCTCAAAAATGATCCCATAAAAGAATTATTTGATACATTGATGAAAATTAATTAAAACCAAATTATTTCCCAAATTAGCAAATCTATGAACATACTTACACTAGAACAAAATTGTCACAAATGAAAACCCAAGTATATTTGCATAAGCAGCAGCAACAACAGAGTCCCATTTTGTCTCACATGGAAAACATGTAAGTGCATCGATATTATTTTTGTGTGGACAAGAGATGATGGCAAATGCATTATGACATAGAATACAACAAGTTATCGCATTCACGTGAAAACTAGGTTTGGGCAACCAATGTTTTTACTGTGTGAACAACCAACTTGAGCCAATTGTAGGCATACGGAATTGCCGAGACATTAACTTGTTCACATCTTCCCTGGAATTGGTTCTGAATAAGCTTCATTCAAATTTGGCCTAAAAGACAACATGGAAGGTCTGATAAATCCATCTTAATTCTTATTAAAGTAGAAAACCCGAAACATTATATAACATAACTATCAGGAGGACAACAATATATTTGTTCCTACCCCAAAAGTAGAATCATGATGGCTATTGCTTGCTTGGTAGTCTTGTAGACGGTCCACCATGATACTGGTGTTACTTTCTTGCTCTAACAACATCTGCCGTCAAAGTTAGAAACATTCAATAAATGATGGATTTGATATAAAAAGGAGAAAGCAAGTACCGTGTCAAGAAATACGGGATCATTGTCCTCTTCTCTAAAAGAATGCAGTTAGTGCTCTTAAAATGAGAAAAGGCCCATTTTTTCCCCTGCTTCATGACAAGCAAGCTCAATCCAGATGCCAATTTGAAATTTTGAATTTGGGAATATTTTGCAGTGGAAAAGCGAGTAACTGGATCAGGAATTACAACCAAAAGAGCATCTTGTCCGACGCTCGCCTACTGAATGGCATAAGAACAGCCATTTATTTTGACGATGAGCAGCTGCTGTGGAGAACAAGTTCAAATATTTCAACACCTGTATACTGTGCTGCTGCTGTTTGCTTTCTTTTCACAACTTAGGAGGCCAAAGAGTGTTAATTAGGCAGCAAGTTGTGCAATATCCGGGGGGGTGGCAGTTATGTAATTATTAACTTTTACCCTCACACTAAAAAAAACAACTCTACATACTCTTCTGCTATAATTACAACAATGAGGAGGAGGAATGCACTACAAAACTGTTGTGCCCCATCACCAGTCAGCTAATCAATCAACCAATGACGTTTCGAATAATTATAATTAGCATTTAATGTGTTGCAATTACAATAATCTTATTATATATAATGCTTCATGCAGGACCACCATCTGATATCGTCCCTTCCGAAGACATCTCCTCTCCATCTCCATCTCCATCTGGCTGCTGCTTCTGCGGGGGATTTGTTTTGCTGGAATCCCCACTTGCTGTCTTCTCGTTTGAAACTATTCCTCCTTCATCAACACCACCATCTTCACTCATTATTTTCTCATCCGAAGCTGCTGCAGTTGCTATTGCATCATCCCCTTCTGACTTTTGCTGCTGCACTGGAGAAGAGGTCGAACCAACAATCATCGTACTTGGTATCTTTGACTTTTTCTTCTTCTTCTTCTTCTTTTGTTTGTTTTTCAGATCATGCAGAGGATACATAGGCTTAGGTGGAGTTGGTCCTGGGACTACAAATGGAGGAATTTGGGAGCAACCTTCTCCATACAATACACGAACAGATTGTGCAATTGCAGATAAAGTTGGAGGCAGCAGCTCAGACCGGGGTTTTTTACCTGGTGGAGGATCTTTTATTACTGCTTCTCGAAGCCAGTGTGGCAGTGCCCCACCTTTCATGGACATAGCAGCAGCCTCTTCCTCCTTTCCCTTTGATTTGTAATAATCCGGAACCAGATTATTACTAAGGCCAGCAGGAGGCAATATTCCCAACCCAGTAGTTACATCCATTCTTTGCTTCATCATTCTTTGCTGCAACCCGAGAGAATCCAAACAACTAGTACCTCCTAGTGAATCCAGCAGAAACGGAGGTGAATTCATAAGGGTACTACTTTCACTGGTTCCTGCTGCAAAAAAGTCTCTGGAAAACTTAGCCTGGAACATATTCACAAGTGGTTCATCAGACGATGGTGGTAGACCTGCAAGACCCAGTCTCATATCCGTTAAATGTGTCTGAAATCTCAGAGGCGGCGGCCCCCCATCATACTTTGTTCCGTGCAATGCCCGTGCCATCATTCCTTCTTCTGAGCGATTCCCGAGCATTGCTGCTCGTGCCATCATACCTTCTGAGCAATTCCCGAGCATTGCTGCTCGTGCCATCATACCATCAGAAACCATTGCATTTGCAGACTTTGGAGGAGGAGGAGGAGGAGGAGGAGGAGGAGGCATCATAGACTTTGTCCCATCGATGATCTTGAGTTGTTCTTCCTCCCACCTTGCTGACAAATCCTCTGCAGTTTTGAACTTTGAGAACTTCAACCTGGGATCTACTAACATTGACTCCCAATTGCCCCTTCCATGTCTACGAATCCCTATCCACAGATAATCAAGCTCGTCCTCAGACCATATATCTATTTTTGATTTCTTTTTCAGCAGGTTGCTGCTCGACGACCCACCTCCAGTTCTCATTATGATATTCTCAAGAACCTTCCTGTGGTTTTCAGGAAATGACGAGAATGAACCCAAAGCTGGAGGAGGCATCTCATACTTTGCCATATCTGGTGGAAATTTGAGATTCGGCAACAATGGCAGCACAGGCATATCATGTACAGTGGTGGGCTCTGGAACTCTTGATCCCAGAGATAGGCTTGGGAACAAATCAGGAGTTGTACTTGGCTGCAAGTTTCCACCAGGAAATGAATATCTAGGTAGCAACTTCTCGTCAAATGGTAGCTTGGGCAATAGCATTTTCTCTTGAAAATTCGAAAAAGCTGCACTAGAGTTCCACGAATGCTCTGTTGCAGGCCCTTTACCTTTCCGGATATTCAAGGAATGCTGCTGCAAAAAACCATGATATTCAGATGAGAAACTGCAACTTTTTTCCCCAATTTAAACCCAACCAATTGATCTATAAAGAAACTTACTGGCGTAAAGGGCATATATTGATCAGTCTTCATGTGCTGCACCTGAGGCAAGTGATCAGGCAACATATGTTGTTGGGCTGGCATCGACTCGTTACCTTTACCAGTCATCTCATTTAACGGGAACTCCAGCCCGAGCCCGTGTTTGAATTGCCTTTGGTAAGGTTTTGGGAGTTTTCGCTGCAGCAACTCTGTTTTATTGTTAGGAGGAGCATTTGGTGCACAGAGTCCAATAACCGGCAGCAAGTTGCTCCGCATCGCATCAAGTAACTGATCATTGTCCCTGGAATATTCTGGAAAATGCCCTCTAGATGTATCTGGAAGATCTAAACGAGAAGGTTTCTGGTTAGACATCATCCTTCCCAGCTTGAGGGTTGAGTCAGTGATGCCATTCGTGGATTGGCCAATAAGATTCCTATCCTCCCAAGCAGCAACAACTGAAGATTGTTCTTCAGCAGGCTGAGCCGTTTGTATTTGTTCTTGAGGAATTGAACCTGGCAGCTGCACATATGGTCCCTGAACAGAAACGGGCGGCGGTTCATTTACATTTCTCCTAGCCAGTCTTTCCTTTTGTCTTGCACGAAGCTTGCCGCTGTTGAATAATAAGCACATTAGTTGTATACAACTTTTAAATGACCTTCACCAGTGTCAATTTTAACCCTTGAGGGGAAAAAAGAAAAAAGAAAAGAAAAGAAGAATTCTCTTGAATGAATGACACAGAAATAACAAAGCCATAATTGTGCATTTTATGTGCAATGCATGGGCAGAAATCTAGTCGACAAACAGCACTAACCAATAAATTCTATAAGCAATACACGTGTATGGATAATACACAAATTGTGCATTTTCTGTGTAATGCATGGGCAGAATGCTAGTCGACAAACAGCACTAACCAATAAATTCTATAAGCAATCCACGTGCATGGATAATATACAAATTGTGCATTTTCTGCGCAATGCATGGGAAGAATGCGAGTCAACACACAGCACTAACCAATAAATTTTCTATAAGCAATACACGTGCATTGATAATGTACGTAATGCATCAATCTAGCGATCCGAAGTGGAAAGTAAAAACAATTCCCACTTATCATGGAAATAAATTTACAAGGCATCAACATATTTGCTTTCAATAATAACCTATAATCAATTGTCATGATTGAAGTATTCCAACAACATTATTAGAAATTATGTTCCTTACTGAAATTAATATGTTGTAAAAAAATTAATAACAATAAGTGTAGCATCAAATTTTAGGAAAAAAAAATTCAAATGAAAAATAGTGTTACAATTTCAAATTTTAATAAGATATTCATGTCATATAATAATGTCGATTAAAAGATAATCCGCAATCATTTTTGTAGCAAACTATCACTCACTATAGGCATTTATTCTGATAAACAAATTATATTATCGGAGTATGTTGCATTCAGTGATATGATATAGCCCAATATCTGAAAGTGCAAGATTTAATGATTTTGAAAATAAAACTTTAGCACATGATGTGTTAATATTGTAGGCATTCATTAAAACACATGAAAAGAGTGTTGAAATATGAATGAAGCCAAACTCACAATTTTTCTTTAAGAGCTCGTCCTGCTGGTGTGTACTCACGCTCGGGCTCTGGTTCACGCTCTGGTGCCACCTCTTCGACACCACCACCCTATCATATCACATGCCAAAAGTTACTACCATACATTCAAACATTGGAAGCAACAAACCTCTCGTAACATAATTCAAACAGAAGGTACATAAAACGTCAAATTATTGTCTACTCACAACAATAGTTGTTATTTGGCAGTTATTCTTTTGACTTTTCAAGGGAACTAAACTGAGGGTGCTATTGCCAGTTCAGCAGTGAGCCACTTGATGAAGAAACATTCAGTGGGGTACAAAAAAAGATGGCAATCTAGTATTCCTAATCACAGTATCATAAGAATTTGCTAGGGTTTCATAGTCTCTTTTCTCTTGGTATTATTTATTTATAATTCTAGCCCAAGAGATGCTAGTTGTCTTTCTCTTTTTCCTAATTAATTATGTCAATAAAATTCATACATAGGTTGATAGATCACAGAGAAACAAAAGGAGGGGCAGAGAGAGAGAGAGAGAGAGAGAGAGAGAGAGAGGTACTTCATTCAGTGCTTCACTAGGATGAACTACATATGCCTCTCGGTAAGAAACAGCTTTTCGTTGGCGTTTTCCTCGGCCAAGAGCTGCTTCCTCCTCGGTTTGATATTTTTCCCATCTAGAAGAAACCATAAGCAATGCGTTATAATGAGACTGAGGAAATAAATTTCGCAGTAACACAAATTCTTAAAAGTACTAGATGCGACAAAGAGAACACAAATACAAGAGACACTAAACAACGGAAAAGGTAATAAAAGGTTGAGCTCTTCTTCACCTAACTCGCAGAAGCCTGTCCCATTCATTTTGTTCATTTGTGCCAACCAAATTATCAGCAGCTTTCTTTTCAGAAATCTCTTCACTTGTGTCATTAATTGCCTCAGCAGCTGATACGTTCCCAACTTGTTCTTCTGTTAATTCGTCATTCCATTCCAGTGACTAAGTGAAAAAATAAAAAGGGTGATGGACATCCAATATTAGAAGCAGAAATAGTTCACACAGATATACTAGCCATATTCAAAAACAAAAAAATTATTGTGTGTGTGTGTGTGCGCGCGGATCGTGCCACAAGCAGAATTGAAGGCAATAAAAAAAGGAATGATGAAATTATAAGCAATTTGATGATACCTTGACGGAACCAAGCATGTCATTTTCTAATCCTGATTCAGCATTATCTGGTGAACCAGACTGAATGTTTGAGCGGTCGAGCAATTTCATAATAGCATTTTCATCCCAGACAATCTTGTTACTAGCATCAGCACATTTGTCTTGGTATACATCTCCAAGGCCACCAGTTCTTCTCCTACTACTACTACTAGTACTAGGCTCTATCTCTGCAATTGCTTCATCGTTTTCACCATCTTTTCCAGTCATATTAGATTTATCATGAAAAAGTTCTTCTGTTCCCCACTTTAGGATGTCTTCCACCTCTTTCGGTGATCCAGACTTGTTCACAAAGAGTTGGTCAAGCATCAGCTTTTTCTTTGCTAGCTGCAAGATACGCTCTTCAACACTAGCACGCACAACAAGCCTATACACAAGAAGTCTTTTTGACTGCCCTATTCTATGAGCTCGATTCATAGCTTGGATATCGGCATGTGGGTTGAAATCAGAATCATATATAACAACGGTATCAGCAGTTGCTAAGTTGATGCCAAGGCCACACGAGCGTGTTGATAGCAGGAACACAAAGCGACTCTTGTCTTGGTTAAAACGTGCTATTGCAGCTTGTCGTTCAGCCACAGAAACGGAGCCATCAACTCTTTCGAATGTCCTAGGACCAAATTCTATATTCAAGTAATCCTCAAGTATATCAAGTAATTTGGTCATCTGTGAAAAGATAAGAACTCTGTGGTTATCTTTGTGCAACACTTTAAGCATAGAATGCAGCAGAGTCAGCTTGGCCGACGCTTTTATTCTCATTTCGTGAAGAAATTCCATTGATCCAGATTCAGGCTCAGTACCTGGAATGAGATAAGGATGATTGCAGACCTTCCTTAACTGCATCACTATGTTCAGCATTGATTGCTGGGGAGCCCCTTTCCCTATGTTGCGTAATACCTGGTAGTTCTTTGTAAGCATCGCACGATAATATTCTGCCTGAATAGATGACAGCTCAACAGGGACTACTCGTTCAATCTTGGGGGGGATATCCCGCATAGCATCCTTTTTAAGTCTACGAAGCATATGCGGAGCAACAAGTTTCTTCAGCTCCTCAACTTTTTCTGCAGTTGTTAGATCATTAAATTTCTCCTCAAATGAAGAGAGGGAAGGAAATGAAGCTTGCTGCAAGAAGTTGAGCAGATTGTACATCTCCCCTATGTTGTTCTGAAGAGGAGTACCAGTCAACAGTACTCGATGCTGGAATGAAAATGTATTCAGCAAGCCAAACAGCTTACTGCTAGAATTTTTAAGACGGTGACCCTCATCAACCACAAGAACTTCCCAAGGAACTGCACGTAAATGAGAGGAATCACATAGAACCATTTCATACGTTGTCAAGAGGACGTTGAATTTGAATGCAGATGTTTTCTCCTTCAATCTTTTAGGATTATGGGCATGCCATTCATATTGGCGAATCATGGCTCTTGCTCTCGTGTTACCGTGATATTCTACAACGTTCAGGTGAGGAGCCCACAGCGCAAACTCTGACATCCAGTTGGGCATTGTGGATAAAGGAACCAAAACAAGACAAGGAAGTTTAGCTTTAAACTCACAGTACAGAGACGATATGAAAGCACACGCTGATATTGTTTTCCCAAGCCCCATTTCATCCGCAAGTATTACATTTCTTGATCGATGCCAGCTTTTACGCAACCAATTCAGTGCTTCTAGCTGATGCGGAAATAAAGCACCTCCAACTAGTTCTTTAGGCTGTTCTGTCAGAGTAAGTACCTCGTTTTGTAGGAGGTCACCCTTCCGGTGCCTACTGTCAAGGTTGACAGTGTCATTCTCCAATGTTTGTCGTTCGAACGTGACGAACAAATCAACCAAGTGAATTGACTTTGCAATAGCAGCTTCGTCCACTCTTTCCCAAGTACATTCATCATAAGGAAGACCATTCCATTTTACATATGCTTCAGTAACACCATCAGTAGTGGAGGACCTAGTAGCAATTACTCGCTGTGGCGACTTCCATTGTTCCTTGCACAGAATCATTGTAGCTGTCCCATACTTTGCCTTGTAATTCTCCAGTTTCCGTTTAGCCAACACCTTCAGCTCAGACTCAGGAATCCAACTGTCATGTATATGAGATTTGCCCACCCACTTTACCAAAAACTCATATGAGATATCGGAACCTACTAATTTCTTTTTAGAAGTAGTCGTCATTTTTTTATCCTCTACATCCTCATTTGTGATTCCTTTATCATTACTGGTACAAGTCTCTAAGACTATATCGGCATTCTCAATTGCTGGAACCTTCTCGACAGTTTTGGCTGCTGCACTGGTGGACGAGATATTGTCATCTTGACTTTTGTTTTCTTGTACTACCATGGAACTAGAACAGTCAATTTCTTTACATTCTTTGGCTACTGATCTTGTGTACACTTGAAGCTTGTCTTTGTTCATAATATCTTGTATGTTCCTTTCCACACCAGAACAGTTGGCAATATCTTGAGGATCATCAGCTGAGTTTCCTACATCGAACACATCCGGATTTTCCTCATCAGATTTACTGGGATGTTCTGCAACTAATGAATCTGCTAAAGGTGGGTCATCGTCATTGACCACCGCATTACAACCAAAATCAACATTATCACCATGGATTCGACAACCAACAACTCGATCAACCTGCTAAAATAAAATTAAGACACAATGTCAGTCATTTTTATAGTTGGAGCAAGATGAGATTTAGTAAAACACTGGCAGCTAGAAACATCAACTTCTTTGTTACCTGTAGAATTCCAGTAGCATTATCTTCATATCTCAAGGGTTCAACAGTAATTTTCACAGCGTCCTGTGATTCAAGTGAATCATGGGCTGCTTCTTCAACCATCTGCATCAAAGACCATATTATGGAAACAAATAATAGAGCAAGATATATGGATCATGCATGATAGTATCAATAACAAGAAGAGCTAGAAAAACCATCATTTTTTTTTAGACACACTAACTATAGGTTATAATTTATGAGCAATAATATCATCTAAGGCATCATATATTTCCTCCAACTAGTATTACACTTGCTATTTATCAATTCTTTCCCGCAACTTGTTCCCAATTCAATCTACTACAGTTTTAGCAGTCCAGCCCAAACAAAGTGTTTCATTTATTTTCTCAAACCATATAGGACCAGAAGTCTAACAAATGATAAACATGCATGTCAATACTTTTAAGTTTGAACCAGAATTTGAAGTTATGAAAGTTAAAATTATGATTTAAACATGAGATAAGCTCAAGAAAATGAGAATATGGATGATAAAACCACAAGAAAAAACAATAATAAAAAGAAATAGACCTCATCATCCTTCAGGAGGATATTGACCATATCTGCACAGGCAGCTATTTTACGTTTTGGCTGTGAAGATTTGCCATTATTGTTGTTGTTCTTTGATTTGAGCAGACCTTTCTTCTTCTTAGTATCTGAACACGATTTGGCATTGTTGGTCTTTGACTTCTTTTCGGTATCATGGGAGTAAGCTTTATTATGCTTTCTTTTTCTGGGTACTGGGGTGGCAGCTTCCAATGCAAGGACAGGTTCGCTTCCTGGTGAAAACTCCACAATAGATGTCTCATTATTTACTTCAGGAGATGCCTCTTTCATCTTTGACTTTTTTTTCTTCGACGAAGATAAAGATCTTTTAACAGGGGTAATTGACTTCTCTGCTTGTATATGCAATTGAGACACTAATTTTTTCTTCTTAACATCAGCATAAGATGAACCAGCATCCAGAGAACCATCTTCAACGGGATCATTACCACAAATGTTATTGGATAAAGATTCCAACTTCTCAACTGTTCGACTTCGACGAGATAAAGGCAATTTTCCTTTGTCGGAATACCTTTTCTTACCAAGAATAGGAGTTTCAGATGCTTGGTTAGCCTTGTCAGATGCAGACGATCCAGACTCGGTTTTTGATCTACGGATGATGATTTTCGTCCGTGCGCGTTTTGAAATAGGTTCTAGTTGGTTCATGCTCTCCATACATGAATGTTCAGAACAGCAAGTTGGGCATTCCCACTTCCCGTTTGGAATATTCTTCAGAGGATAAAGTAACAAATGAGTGTCTCATTGCATGTAAATAGGAGGAGTAGAGTAAAGCATAAAATATAATCAGCATACCTTCAAAGCAGGATCTAAACACTGAAGATGATAAGTACGGGGACATGTATCACAACAAAGCAACTCTCCACCAAGTTCACAGACCACACACTCGTAATAATACTGTAATAATATGAAAAAACAAAGATTCAAGATACGAGTAAATTCCATTAACCTTCATGTGGCTTAAAAGCTGGTAAATAAAACATAGAAAAATACAGTCAAGAAACAAGCCGGGGGTTCTAAATCATTCATGCGCGGAGGCAACATCTGTATTATCCATTTCAAGGAAATAATGATAACTTACTCCATCATTGCCTTTCCTCTTGCCAGAACGTTGATCGAGACTATCATCCTCTTTCAGCTCTACAGAGTTGTTGACTTTGCCTTTGTCTCTAAACTTAGCTGGAAGCTTTCTACGCTTTCGTTTCAACACCCAGTTTCTGTTAAGCATTGAACTATTCTCTGAACCGTTGTCCTTCATTCTTACATTTATTCACTGCAACCAAAATGTTTAAGTTATAATTGGCAATGGATACACTCTATTCAGGAGGTAACCTTATATATAGAAAGGCTACTAATAATAAATGAGATCATATACAGACTCGTAATAAATGAATGTAGTGAATGCTATAACCCTAATGCAGCGTCAATCAGTATACGTACAAAATAAGGAAAAGGCCGCACACGCTTTATAAAAATGACTTAGTCAACATTGGCAAAAAAGTAAATATGATGCATAGAGTGCTTCAAACCACATGCATAGCTCAAATAAGATCCCTATGATGAATGATCAGCCAAATAATGCAGAGAACAAATGAGACATTTTAACAGACTAGCCATGCAACATTCCGGGATGAATGCGCATGAAAAAGGGTTGACGTCAATTGACAAACTAAACATTGTTTAAAAACAATCATATGATATTTTTATAGCAAAATCATGATTTCGGAGATCAAATCAGTAGTTTCTATACTGAAAGTTGAGTTAAATACTACATTCTATAAAGGGTAAAATTCATTTTGCACCCGTGTCAAATAACCCCTGCCGTCAACTTTTTTCTTGAATCCGTTAGTCAAATCCTTTGACCGACCGTTATAAAAATCCGTTGGCTGTTTTTTTGACGAAATTACCCCTAATAATCTCTAGATATAGATTGTCTAGTTTTAGACATTTTTTGACCAGATTTTCCCACTTATTCAGCCTTCTTTTTTACTCTTTTCAGCAGTTTTTTTTTCACTCTTTTCACCCATTTTTTCTTTTGTTCTTGAATTCTTCATTTCGTTTAGTTTTTTTCCCTACATTTGTCAATTTATAATGTCTGGCAAAACAGAAACCACCCCTCCGACATACTCTTCAGCACCATTTGTGAATCTCCCTTTACAATTGATCCTTATAGTAAACAATTGGTCGCTCATTATTCCTGCATAAAAAAAGAAAATTCAAATCGACAAAAAATAAAGCTTTGCAGATTATGATTGCAAGACCCACCCAAAAAAAAAAAGTGAAAACCCCTAAAATCTAAAAAAAATGCTAAATCAAAATAAAACTCTAATGAACCGCAAACTAAAAACAAAGAATTACAGACTTTGCATAAGATTTTTTTTTTAATCTGAGTTGGAGAAAATATACACTCTGCAAAAGAAAAGAAAAAGAAAAATTCATTAAAGTCCAAGCATAAAATGTCATACAGGTTGAGAAATCTATTACTATGGCAAAAACTAAAAAAATCAATAAAGTTGAGAATTCAAACAAGACAAGATATTACGTCTGCTATTTATATAGCAATGCAATAAATTACTTCTGCTATTTGAAATTAAACATAAACCCTAAAATCAAACAACACTAAAATCGACAAAATTCTCTACTTTGAACGAATTATGAAAAATGTCAATAATCCACAAAATACACCTTATTTCTAGTTAAAATCATGTCCTTAATCCTCGAAGTTCACCGGGTTAGAGAACCCCCAAAAAACATCAGTTCACCCAAATGTTAATCCCCTAATTGGGAAAGAAAAGGAAAAAATACCTAAAACCAAAACTCGTACCTTCTTCTAGGGTAAGCAACCTTCGAATATGCTGCTCATTCAAGGTTTCTTCAACAAATTCCACAAAAATCTTGAGAATTATATGAAACTTTCAGGTGTTGTTTTCTTGCAAAATCGAAGAGAGGGAGAAGGAAGACCGGGAGAGAGAGAGAGAGAGAGAGGGAGGGAGAGAGAGAGAAAGTTGTACAGAGAGTGAATGACGTGAAAAACTTTGGGAATTTTCTAAGGCTGGGGTGTGAACCACCCCAGCTCGAGCCCAGCACTCTTTTGGAAGGCTCTCTTTTGGAAGGTTCGAGCTCGAGCTCGAGTTTATTTTGTTGAGCTCGAACTCGTCGAGTTTCTCTTTTTCGATTTGAGCTCCAGCTCGAGCTCGTGTTCATTTTATCGAAATCGAGCCCAAGCTTATTTTCTTTCTTTTTATTAATTATTCTTAAAAACTATTGAAAAATATTACAAAAAATTGTAATTAATATTATAATATTGTGGACTTTAGCACATTGGAGAATATGACTTTGACATGTGTCCTTACATGTGTAACTATTTAGAGCAATGAACAACTAGGTGTGGACATGTGTCCTTAGTGACTAAGCATTTTCTTGTGTATAAATATGAGGAAGAAAAATGTATTGTATACTCATATATCATCTAATGAAAAAGAATATTTTGCTCTATATTGTGTTTCTAGGTTTTTCCACTAACACAATTATATTTATATTTATATATATATATCTCTAATTAATTTACCATAGTGGGAATTTCATCATGCATTTCTCAAGCCATAACCATCTCTTGCAAATGAGTAATATTATATATCTATTGAATTCAATTTCGTATAATCGATAAACGAGCTAATGGGAATTATTTCACAACACGTTATCAGCACGAGGTTCTGCTCGAAAAAAGGCTAGGTTATGTAAGTTTGTTTATTTTACTTTATGTTATTTTATTTGATAAAATCCAGATCATCGATATCAAATGGTGAAGCGAATACTACAGTATTTATACGCCACCGATTTTCAGAGGAAATGAAGGATATATATCTATAATTATGTGCATGTTAATTTATGAGAAAAAAAAAGAGGTTATTATCTCTCACCCAGGCTATGAATTTTCAACTTGCATTACATGATTTTGATTTTGTAAATTTAGAAACATGTAATTGGCATGTGCAATTTTTGATTAATTTATTTAACAATCTTGTTTAAATTAGCAAAAGAAAATGGGCTGATTTACATAATAGAAATGAAAATGACTCCGTCCCATAGGAGTCCAAATTAAGAGTCGATTTAAAGGCTATGAAAATTACTCCGAACGTAATGTTCGTAGACATGATGGTGGACGTTGTAGTCCCCAATAATGGCCGATATAGAAGCCGTAAATATAACTCCGGGTGTGATGCCCGTAGAGTCACTAAAAATTGTGATTCCCCTCAAATGCAAATGAGGTTATTAAAATAAAATTAATTGGGTGATGTACCTATATAAACGATTGACATTTTTGGATTGAAAGTCCATTATAAAATTAAATATGGGGTTAGGCCTACAACGACAATGTGACAGATAGTCCTCGTCAAGATGTTCTTAAATTGACCAAGGTAGATGTAAATATTTCCGCCCAGATAATCATTTGGTCAAAAATAAATCAAAACTCATGAGTTTATTGCCTACAAAATATATTTTGGCCTATGAGTAAAGATTATATATTTCAGATCATGCATGATAATATTCTTAATGATTACGATATAACTCTCTCGATATAACGGTATTCGAGATTGAATTTATTTATTATGAACATATCTCCCTCGGACGATATATACCCGAGGTTGAGCCTATAATATTTTCTCGAGATAAATATAAATGACGTCAAATTGAAATACTTCTCTCGGATGATTTTATTCCCGAGATTGAGCTAATTTCTAAAATAAAATTTATATATCTCTCTCGGACGACATATGCCCGAGATCGAGTTTATAATATCTCCCTCGGACGATACATTCCCGAGGTCGAGCTTAAATATATATTCCCCAAATAAAAATTTACAACTCTCTAGCTCGGATGATTTATTCCCGAGTTTAAGTGAATAATACTCCCTTGGAAGAAGTATTCCCAAGAAATATTCCCAAGGTCGAGCTTATCGAGCTTATACACCCCTGATGATATTGTTAATATTTCAAAGTTAATTTACTATGTCTACTAATTGTGTAACATGTACATATCTCTCTCGGATGTTAAATTCCCGAGATCGAGTTCCCAAAACTCCCTCGAATGAGATATTCTCGAGGTCGAGATTACATATCTCTCTTGGATGTTAAATTCCCAAGATTGAGTTAACATTTTATTGTCATATTATTTAATATGGATGTACATGTGAAACACAAACATAATAGACTATTATCTATATATTATAATTTCGAACTTTGAAATTGAGTTATATATCTTTCTCGGATTGATTCCCGAGATTAAGATAAGCTACATATCTCCCTCGGATGACATATTCACGAGGTCGAATTTTAGAAGTTCTCCTTCAGATGAAATATCCCTGAAGTAGAGTTTGCATATCTCCCCTGAAATATATATATTCCCGAGGTTGAGTTTAAATATCTCCCCGGACGATGTATTAGTCTAATTGACAATTTAATATATTCTAAAATTTATTGAGTGTGATATTGCGCAAAGCACGAAGTAAAACTAAATTACTTCCCGTAGAGATTATGGCTCCGGGAATAAACAATTGTTCTGCTTATGATATAAAAAGCCTTAGATTTTGTATTGTAGTGTGTCCTAATTCGAATTTTCAATTCGTACACCACCATGTCATATAAACTGGTTAATCCTGAAATATTCAGGTTTTGACATGTTAATATGGGGACGCCCATAAAATATTAAGGTGGCTAGAAATAAAGAATATACTACGGACATTCGTACGATATAAGGATCCTTATGTCCAAAGAGAATTTCTGTAATTTATAGAAATCTCGTTATATAACCTTTAGTGCGAAATGGTTGATAATACTTATGGACCAATACAACCTTTCAAGTGGACCAATATCTTAAATATTTATAATTTTGTCAGACGCATCTTATAGATGGTCTCGCGTGTGTTTATTGTATTCATGCAATATGATTTTGCACGTTTTCTGCACAAGTTACTATACTCCGTGCATACGAGAATGGATAGTGGTGGAGAAACTCGATCAAAATAATTTTGATACATTTTGTGCAGTATTTGGGATAAATATCAGTACCTTGTAGCACACGCTCACACTCATATGGATGAATTAAATCCACTGAATAAACAAGTCATGATAAACATGCTCTGGATAAATATGTCGAGATTAACCTCTCGACTAAGGGCAATTACAATTATAAAATTTCGGGATGATTAATCCAGTGAATCACGTTCAAAAAATAGAATGTCAGCAGAGCCGAGTTTGGCCTAAATGTGAGAAAGCGATTAAATCGAAATTGTCTTTCATAGAGGAACGAAATAAATACGGACTAATGGTACCAACTCCGAACAATATAAACTCCCTGGATATAAATGGGGTTTTGTTCGTAAGAGGAATAATGACAACAAAATTGTTCGGTATAATGTGTGCCTTGTCAAAAATATTGATTCTTCCCAGTGTATGGGAATGATTATATTAGATGTATTTACTGGTTATGAATACTATCAATTTTCGTTTCTTAGGGTTGTCCATGAGGGAATGGACATACGTCTAACAGACATTCTAATGTCATCTTTATGGTTCACTGAATTTTGTTATACTCTCGCGGATTTAAAATGTGTAAAGCAAAGACATAGTGATAATATGTTGCACTCTTTTTCCCTTTTGTTCGGTCTTTTTCCCATGTGGTTTTTCCGACGTAAGGTTTTTAACGAGGCAACTTATAAATCTTTGAATAGCCTATTTCGGAGGTCTATATTATTTGTTTCAGGGGGAGCATACAATGCTATGATGTGTTGTACTATTTTTTCCTTTCGACTGGTTTTTCCCATAGGGTTTTCCAGCTCAAGGTTTTTAATGAGACAACCTACAAATTGATTGATAGCCCATATTGGGGGCTTATATTGCTCATTTCAGGGGGAGCAATAGTGCACTGCACTCTTTTTTCCCTTACGACTGGTTTTCATCCCATTGGGTTTTTCCAGCTAAGGTTTTTAACGAGGCAGCTTATGCACACGACTTGGATTTGAGTCATGCACTCTTTTTCCCTTCTGATCGGTTTTTCCCACTGGGTTTTCCGGCTTAAGGTTTTTAATGAGGCATCAATTCAGTCGATACAATAGTGCTACGTCCAAGGGGGAGTATTATAATATTGTGGACTTTAGCACATTGGAGAATATGACTTTGACATGTGTCCTTACATGTGTAACTATTTAGAGCAATGAACAACTAGGTGTGGACATGTGTCCTTAGTGACTAAGCATTTTCTTGTGTATAAATATGAGGAAGAAAAATGTATTGTATACTCATATATCATCTAATGAAAAAGAATATTTTGCTCTATATTGTGTTTCTAGGTTTTTCCACTAACACAATTATATTTATATTTATATATATATATCTCTAATTAATTTACCATAGTGGGAATTTCATCATGCATTTCTCAAGCCATAACCATCTCTTGCAAATGAGTAATATTATATATCTATTGAATTCAATTTCGTATAATCGATAAACGAGCTAATGGGAATTATTTCACAACAATTAATATATTTTTTATATTTATATTTTATTTTTATTTATTTCTATAATACTTAATATTATTATGCATAGTTTAACTAAAAAATAATACATAAAAATTAAAAAAATAATAATAATAAACAAGGCTCGCGAGCCGGCTCGTGAGCTCATGAACAACTAAAACTGGCTCGAGTTCGACTCGTCAGAAAGCTCAAACTCGCGAGCTCGAGCTTTTTTCGGCCGGCTTATCGAGCTCACAAGTCGGCTCGGCTCGTTTACCACTCCTAGTCTAAGGTATGTAAAACAGGGTAAAATAGTAATTGCTCACTCAAATTTAACACTGTTAAAAATTTGAGCATTGACTATCAAAACTAGAAAGTATTATATTTGATGTTTTCCATACATCAGATGAGTAAACGATACCTTTCTCGAAGTACGGGGCTTTTATAAATCACCAATTTATTACAACACACAAACATGCACACGC